TACTTCTTTAAGCACACTTCCATCAAGATTCACCACTTATCAAGGAATATATATATATATATATATATATATATATATATATATATATATATATATATATATATATATATATATATTTCAAGTGGCTCTTACTTACTCAACACAGTTCACCTTTCTCTTTGTTTCACTAGTTCCACTCAAAAGCCAAACCAACCACTCCACACTTTAACTTTTACAAGTTCATAATAATCCAAGTGCTCATGAGAGGTTAAAAGGTTCAAATAGATGATTAATTCAAACAAATGGGTAAGGCTTGTAATGTGGTTGCCAAAGAAACAGGATTACAAGCTCAAAGGGGTTAACTACGATACATAACAATTAGGCAAGTAAAATATAAATATCTGTCTTAACAAAGAAACACCTATATCACTTTCAAGACTGAACAAACTTCTATTTCACTTTGCACACACACGGGACAAGTTCTAGGCATCCAATGCAGTGCACAGAATACAACAATCCTCACACACACATGGCACATGACTCACTCCAGATTGGATCATCGAAATACTCTAGTCAGAGTACTAAGCCAAGTTAAGAACATACAATTTAAGGCACTCTAATAAGAACCAAGAACCGAGCCTAAGCGTCACACTAAAGTATCTATTGTATTCAAGGGCATAATGACGTTAAGAGATCCTCCTTCCATATCAACCCTTAGCCCACAAGTACCTAATTAAAAATGAAAAACTAACTAACCCGGTCCAAACAAAAACATTTGGAAAAGAACCGCGGTCCAAAGAAAAACCAAGGGGTAATTGATACACTACCTACAAAAGAATTTTTTTATATCGACTTAGACCCTCAAGAAACCCGTCAAATGATATCCATCGTTGGGACAAGTTGAAAATGTGAACTTTTCACACATTCAGACGACTAACCAAAGACCAAAANGACGTACACGACAGTAACTACAACTACTACTTCTATATATATACAACATAACGAAACGAACGTACCCGACCCCCACCCAACTAAACTTAAAAATGTCTATCGTCCTCATGTACAATAAATAGAAAGTAATGCGAGGACAAAGGTAACCTTCCCGTAGGAAGATCAGTCTTGATCAGAGACAGTGCCGGGGTCTAAGTGACACGCCCTCCCCAGCGCACGCAGCCAGCCCATGATTTTCTTCTCTGATTTAGCATTTTGGGTGGCCAAGGCATCAACTCTAGTCCCCAAGTCTGTGATAGTAGTACGCAGCCCTACCATTTCCTGCTCTAAGGCTGCCAGCCGTGTAACCCGACCGACCCCGGACGGCCCTTCGGCTTCCACAACATGCTCATGGGAGGGCGACTCAGCCCCCACTTCATCTTGCTCATCATCTCCCTCCTCGGATGCTTCAGAATCATCACTATTAGTTGAACTGGATGCCACCGTCTCTTTCCCAATGGTCACTTTGGAAGCCCGGAACATTGTTTCTTTCTTCACCTTGCCGTCCACGTTGGGGTTCGGCACCCGTACAGCCCGACACAATCTAGTGACCAGAGATGGGAAAAAGAACCCATACCTCCTCAGTGTTGAACGGATGAACATCTCAGAGTGAATAACCTTGGCCACATAAAAATCGTGGCTATTCATGAAGCACCAGATCAAAGCAGCTCGCTGTCCATTGACTTCAGGGGTGTTGTGGGACGGCAGCAGTCGACTATTGATGATGTACAACCAAAACTTACCTTCAAAGGTGAGTGAGGCGGAGTGCAACTTCGATCCCTGTACAACCCACACTACCTCCTTGTCTGGTTTACAGATAGTTTGGAAAAACAATTGACAATTTGTGGGCTCTCGCTTGTAACTATCATAGTAATCCATCTCCCCAGTAAATGCCGGCAAGCGATACACTCTCCTGATGGCTTCAATCGAGGCATTCACCCTCTTTTGTCGCACAATGCAAATGTGATCCTCATGTTCGGAACAGTTGGCATAGAATTCCCTAACAAGCAACAAGTTACCGTCCTCCGGTTCCTCGAAGAAGATGTCGAGCCTGCGCCTAGTCAACTCTCTATACATATTGGGGCACTCAGCCTGGAGGGAACCCCGGTCAACTCTCCTTTCTGGTACCGACTTTCTAATAGCCTTATAACCAAAACATTCTTGGGCAACTCTGGAGACAACCCTGTTCTATCAAACTGCCCTGAACTGGCTGATGCCCGTGCCCGAGACGAACCACGATAGTGCGTCTCTTCTTTGAAGATCTCATTGTACCTACACACAACCACCATTATCAAGAATCATCGGAATAGGTGAACCACGGCCGGTTACTCAGACTTCACTCGCCCCCTGGGTCACAATTTCTACTAGAAAGTTCATTGTGGTAATTCAACAAACACCTTCTATGCATATGCCCCCCAATGTACCCAAGGACCCAATTAAACTCTCATTCCTCACAACTCAACAATGTTTTCCTAACCCAATCAACCTAATGTCCTCACATATCAATATATATACCAACAAATACA